TGCTCTCTCTCCCTCTCTCTCTCTGACTAATAAATAAATAAAATCTTAAAAAAAAAAAAAAAGAAAAAGAAAACAGGAAATCAGTAGATAAAATCAATGAAATCAAAAGCTAGTTCTTGGCGAGCTCTGTGGATTCTAACTCAACTACTAACTGTAGAGGATTTAGAGGTGAGCCCAAGGGCTGGAGGAAGGATCTGCAGGCATGAGTTCCAGCTCTTGCATCAGAATAAACTGGAAGAGCTGCCAGAAAGGATAGCTTATGACCAGTGTCTGTTGTTGAGACTCAGTATCCCAGGTTGTACTGATGTTGGGTTCATGTTCTGGTGCAACTGAGCCCCCTTGTCCAGGTCTATGAACAAGACACCACCACGGTGGAGCAGGAGGCAGAGATGTGTATGAATTTTCCCATTTCATTTATCCTGGAAAGCAGTCAACCCTTGTCAAGAAAGACCTGGAAGTAAGCCCTCAAGGAGCTAAGAGGGAAACTCCCTTCTTCTGTTGCGTGCTTGGCCTGGAGCACCTCCTAGTGATGGATGTGGAGAGTACAAGGAGGAGACCTGGGAAAGGACCTCACATCCTGGTCAAGGAGCTCTGAATGGTGACACCTAAGGTCCTATAAGTTACCTTCCTTGTACAGAATGTTTTGTTGCTTTCCTCATTTTGTGCTCGAATTTTCAGAAAGATCTTGTTGAAAATTACAGTCTGGTTTCAGTAGCATTGTGGAGATGTCCGCAAGGACATGCCTATAAGTGCAGGGTGGTGGTGGCCACAGTTACCAGTGAAGGCGAGCTGGCCGTATAGCCCATGCCGATCTCCCGGGAGTTACTGGCAACACCACCAGAGACCAATGGCCTGGTGAGGAGAGCAGGATGAAAGAGCCTTAGGGTCGTGTTCTAAGCGCACCTGAGAAATCACATTTTAGGGACTATGGCATGCCACCAAGTGACACACTGGTTTCTGTGACATTGTGACCTTCACCTGTTTTCCAGATGCTCCTTCTCACATTCCTTCATTCATTCTTCTTCTTCTCTTTCCCCACTCCTGGAGTGTGGACATTTTATAGGTTCTACCTTCATTGCTTCTCATTCTAAGCTCCCTTCCTTGATAATAGCACTTCTTCCCAGGGCTTCAACCATCATCCCCAACCTATGTCCCTAGTCCAAGCTCCAGCTCTCAGAGGCCACCTGACTCAGGAATGTCTTCATCCAAATGATCTGCAAACATCTCAACCCAATGGGTCCAGACTTATCATCGCCTCCCTCTCTTTGACCCCTGGATCTAATTCATTTCCAAATCTGCTAAGTCTACCCCTGAACTACAGTTCATATTTAACCTCACACTTCCATTGTGGGTCCCCTTACTCAAAACTTTGCTGGCCCCTGATTGGATGACTGAAGTCACCTCTGGATCAGTCAGTGTAATACCCATCCAATCTACCTTATGTGATGGTTCTGGGGTTAGCATCTTAAAGTGTGTACTACAGACTATCATGTCTGCCCTTGTCTAAAAACATTAATAAATGCCTCTTTAATGCCTGTTGTAGATCCTCCTGCACCCATACTCAATGGGCCAAAAATTATTCTCCTAAACCCATATGAACTCTCCAGCTCTACACCCTTCTACCACCTGGTTCAGTCACCCTCCAGGTCATACAGCTTCCACACAACTTTTCCAGACTTGGTCAAATTAGCCCCTTCTGTCACTACACTCAAGGTGAGGACAGGGCATTTATCATAGGCCACTTGGTATTCCAGGTACTTGTGGGAGAGTTGGGCCTCTCATCAGCCCAACATCACACAGAACACCTAACACAGAAGGCAGCATGACATCACACTGAACTCCCAACCAAAGGGTCACAGAAGGATAGCCGTCTCATCTCCCACAGGGCAACCATGGGAAAAATGCAGGGACAAAGGAGGACTGCTAGAAAGGGGAAGGGAAGAATCGATCCACAGTGCTTTTGCAGCCGTTAAGAACTAAGACAAATGGAGAACACTCAGGAAGAGTATTTCGTAAATGAAGAAACATGGACATTTGATCACTTATTGATACACTCATTCATTTACTGAGCACCTACTATGTACCCTACTATCATTCTCACCACAAATAGACATTAAAGACTCTGAGAAGCATCACACCGTCTGCACCGACAGGAGGTCATGTGGGAAAGGAATTGTTCCCTGTGGGCATCTGACGAGACAGCTGGTGGTTTCTCACACACACAGGCAATAATCGCATTGCTTCTGTGTGATCTCCTACAGCTTCTACTTTACAGAGCACCTCCATTTACATTCTTTTTTTCATCCTCATAACAAATTATACATGTCAGTACCACTCACTGGCCCCATCCGTGAGTGCTGCTTGCAGTAAGGATAAAAGAAAAGCTCTTAGCAAGACTCTGGTTCATTCGCACGAGAGTGTATTTGCCTCCCGTGTGCCAGACACTATTCTAGGTACCGGGGAATACGAAAGTGGGCAACGAGCTGGCTGCCCTCAGGGTGTTGACCTTCCAGTGGCTGACCATATTCCTGATGATGTGGTCTCCCCCTTCTTACCCTCACCCCCTCTCTCAGCCCCAGCCACATAGAACCTCAGGCAGTTTTCTGAACATGCCCTGCTAAGGAAATGCCACACCACACACGGTCACCCACTCCCTCTCTTCTTTAGAACTCCTTTCTCCCTTTCTCCCTTCTCCATCTGGCTACTTCCTTCTGGGCTGTCCAGCCTCAGCAGGCCCAGGTATCGCTCCTCAGGAAGCTTTGCCCATTGCGGGCCCTCATCACGTCTAGCACGCCCACATGCATGTCCATTCCAGCCCTGAGGGAAGGTTATTTGTGGAGAGGTTAATTGGTAGTTATGGCTTTCCCTTGAATATGGGTGTAATTATCTTTTCTTTTCTTTCTTTTTTTTGGTCAACATCGGTCATCTGGGCCACCCCACATTTGTTCCCCTACTGATCTTCACTGGGGGCCTTTCCCCTCCCCCGGGAGTCCCAGGAGGGTCTGACTCCACAGATAATCCAGGTGTGGAGGGCTTAGCCGCTGCCTCAGAACTATACCAACCCACACGATCCCATTCCCTTGGATGCAGTAATCAGTTTAGAGAAGAGCATCTGATCCAAGTTGGTTGGGTTGATCTTAAAAATAAGAACAGTTAAAAATGTGCCCCCTGCTGCACACACATATGAAATGTTTGTTTGACAGTGAGGTCGATTTTAAATGCTGGAGACTAACCAAGGTTGAAGGATGAAGGAGAAACTTGAGATGCCTCAGAAATTGCTGAGTTAAGTAAAAGGCACAGAAACTGTGCCGGTCCACCTTAGGTGAAGAAGAAGGTAAATAATTTATATATCTTTTAATATAGAATCAATATGATTCATGTTATTAATAAGTCAAAGCAGATGACAATAAGATTAATCAAAGGAACGACTATTCATCTTCCCTCATGTTATTACTTTACCCAATAGACCTTAAAGGGGTTTTTGACCATTTCTCAAGGACAGAAGCCACAGAACATTTTGCTGTATCACACACATCCCCCTGCCTGCACTCACTTACACACCCACGCACACCCACTGAGGACTGGACAATAATGGGTAACTGCGTGCGTTTGGGAGCTGTGTAGACACTTCCCTACCTGTGTCTTGCGTCTTAGGCAATTAATTCAGTTTTCTCATCTGCAAAATGGGAAAAATTGTGACTTCCTAGGTTGTCATAAGAATTAAAGTTATTGGGGCGCCTGGGTGGCTCAGTGGGTTAAGCCTCTGCCTTCGGCTCAGGTCATGATCCCAGGGTCCTGGGATCGAGCCCCGCATCAGACTCTCTGCTCAGCGGGGAGCCTGCTTCCTCCTCCCTCTCTCTCTCTCTCTCTCTCTGCCTGACTCTCTGCCTACTTGTGATCTTGGTCTGTCAAATAAATAAAATAAAATTATTTAATAAAAATTTAAAAAAAAGAATTAAAGTTATCAATGTAATAACACTTAGTTTAGGATATAACAGATAATAACAGCTAAAACTGCATTCTGGGTACTATCTTAAACACTTGAAGCATTACATCACTTTGTGTGGATAACAACCCACACGTTAGGAAGATGTTAATATTACCTCGAGGTTAAGCCAGGCAGTTACTGGGTTCAAGGCTCAACGTCCGGGGAACAGTCCACAAGAGATGGCACATTACGGTAGCGATCACATGATTATGCCTGGCTTAAAAGGGGTGCTTACAGAAGAAGGCTTTCATATCCAGCTTTTCTTTCTAAAGGAGTTCTAGCCATCTAACTTAATTTGGGGAAAAACTGACAGTGATCCAAGCTGCTTAAATATTAAGTCAACAGGAAAAAAAAATTAAGTCAACAGGACTGCAAACGTAATACTGTCAACCATAATTAGAACTTCAGCTTCTTTTTGTTTTTAAGATTTTATTTATTTATTTGACAGATCACAAGTAGGCAGAGAGGCAGGCAGAGAGAGAGGGGAGGAAGCAGGCTCCCTGCTGAGCAGAGAGCCCGATGCGGGGCTCGATCCCAGGACCCCGGGATCATGACCTGAGCCGAAGGCAGAGGCTTTAACACACTGAGCCACCCAGGCGCCCCAGAACTTCAGCTTCTTCAGGTCAGATGGGAAGAGCTTACACTCTCCCCAAACCCAAAGCGTGGGCAAAGTCTTTGCATACAGTTTTAAAGGACAACCTGAGAAACGGGGGGTCATCGGATTCTACCACAAACCACAAACTCCATTATCTGTCAGATGAGGGGATTTTATTAGATCATCGACTCTTAACCCCGACGCTACATATTTGAGCCATCCAAGGTGCCCCCAGAGATGCCGATCTAATTGGCCTGGGATGCAAGTGTGGCACGGGAATTTTTGCAAGCTCCCCAGGGATTCTGATGTGCAAGCAAGGTCGAGAACCACTGCCTTAAATCACCAAGAAGGCCCGTCTCAGATGGAAAATCACACAGTTCCATGTGTACCAACAAGATCAGAGGCAAAACGGAATACCTGAAGCAGGATCTTGTTGCCGTCATAGTCCTGTGTCTGCCACCTGGTGCGGCTGATGGGGACGCACGGATGGGGGAGAAGAGGCACTAACTGGCCGATCTCTTGAACCTTGAACTGCAGCACTGAGGACTCTCTGGGGTCCACTGACATTCCAAGGGGCAGCTGTGTCAGGGAGAGCTGCAGAGCAAAGCTCTCAGTGGCATAGAGCACAAAGACGCAGGAGTCGCTCTTCTGCACGGTGGCTTCCTTCTGCAGGATCAGCTCATACAGTCTGATGGCATCGTCGTAGTTATCAGAACTGCAGTAGAGCGTCACCCTCAGGATCTCCGCGCCGCAGTGCCCCTGCTTCACACCCCAGACCGGCATCTGGCTGTCCAGACTGTAGAACTCCTGGTTGGAAAGAGGGTAGGGACACGGCCTCCCCTGAGCATTCAGGGCAGAGTAGCACCGCCACGGCCAGTGTTGGAGGGAGTCAAGAACCCGGAAGAGCCGCTCCTTTCCCACATTCTCGGGCAGGAAGAGCAACACAGACATCCCTGGGAACCGTGAGCGCTTGGAGTGGCACTTGTCGTAGTATTTTACTGGACTGACCCTCTCGGACACCAGAAAGGGACGCACGTCCGGGCAAACGCAGTCCAGAAGCTGATCCAGAGTTTGCTGCAGAAGCGAGCCATGTCCAGAGTCAGCGAGGAGGTGGACGGTCATGGCCAGAGGCTCCGGTGTCCCGTCCATTCCAGACTGCCCCAGGGAGGACAAAGGAAGCAGGCGTGAAGGGCCCACCCGTCAAGCTTCTGCAGCGAAGGAAGAAGCGGGCAGTTCTCCAGCGGAGCCTTCAGCCCCCCAGGAAACCTGCAGCCAATTCAGAACAAAGCTCCTAACCTGGGCTCCTGGTTGCCGGTGGCCGCACAGCCAGACCATCCACACAAACTGGGGCACAACAGCATTGGGGTCAATGTCATCCAGCTCATGCATAATGTAACTGTGTTTTGGGCTTGTCCAGGCACTCCCCCGGGTTTCCGTTTGACCTAAAAACCTGTAATCCTGAGAAACACCCAAGTGGGTGGTTCTTACGGACACTCAGTAAAGGAAATACCAGGCAAAAAGGAATATGAGTCGGCTCTGTAAGGCTGATAGCAATCTGTTTAGTTGAAAAGACATCCATTTTATGGACCCACAATGGGTTCTGATTTCCTCCTTACATCTCTCCATGTTTACAGCAGGCTGCCAGGCCACCTGAATACAATGACTAGTTTCAAACAATTCTCGAAACTTGTCTCCTTGCCAGGATTTCCACTGTCCTTTGTCTTTTTATTTTGTTATGGGACAACTGATGCTAGACCTTTGAAGAGAAGATACTGTATCTAAATAATACTGAGTGTTCACTGAAGATGATTTGCTCTGATGCAAAGTCTGAGTATATGTACTGAAATGTTGCAAAAAAAATAAAAGAGATATTGCCCAAAAAAAAAAGAAAAACCAGAACAAAAAAACAAAACTCCCGTTATTCATGCTGATGCTTCAAGAAGAGCTAGAGCTTCCCAGTATCAATGGTATTATTGCTCAGGTCTATTGAGGATCTACTAGGCACCAGTCATAAATGGTTTTAGAACCTGCAACAAACCTATGAAGAAAAGACTATTTTTCCCCCAGATGACTGATCAACGACCCAGGGCTAAGTAATAGAAAATCTAAGTTACTAGCCTAAGGTCTCACAGCTAAAAAGTGGCTGAGAGAAAATTTGCACTCAGGAACTGAGAGGTGCCCCAGAGAAGTAAAGATGAGGTGCCTTTCAGGGACTTGGAAGTTCCGGCCTGGATTTTCTTCCTAAGGATGGGGAAAGGACACCAAAGCAAATTCTCATTGAGGTCATGAATCTTAAAATGAATTATCTTCAATAAAAATGTTCAAGCTCTAAACAGAACACCCACCCTAATGTTGATATGTCCCCCAATAATGGGTCCGTGATTAAAGGAGCGAGACTGATATAAAGCAAAGGTCAAGCAAAGCTTTATTCTGTGCCAAGCATCAAGAATCAGACGGAGCATTTGGGGCCGCACCTCTTACAAGAGAGGGCAACCTTTCTCTGTTCACAGACTAGTTTTTAAGGGCAAAGGCCATACACACAGAGAAAGCTGCAGGGTGATGCTGTGACCAATTGAATTACAATTTACCCTATAGTAGACATTTGACCTAGCCTATCACCTTGGTTAGAATTGGCACCCAAAAGTCTCCCAAAGGGTGGGGCCCATACTCCTTGGTAGCTAGGGAGACAGTATGCAACCCCCCACTGATCGGATGTTTCCACCTGACCTGACCCATCCTTGTATCTGGGCTTTGTTACCTGGGGCTGGTTTCCGGGACTTGTTTTTAAGTAAGTCCCCTGGGGGAAGGGGAGTAGGGACAGTTTAAGGGTTAAACAACAAGGTTATTGTTTAACCTGGATGGAAGCCTCTGGCTAAATAGGTCCTTACCATGTGTAGTATCTGTTTGAAAATCATTTGCTGGGGCACCTGGGTGACTCAGTAGGTTAAAGCCTCTGCCTTCGGCTCAGGTCATGATCCCAGGGTCCTGGGATCGAGCCCCGCATCGAGCCCCGCATCGGGCTCTCTGCTCAGCGGGGAGCCTGCTTCCTCCTCTCTCTCTCTGCCTCTCTGCCTACTTGTGATCTCTGTCAAGTGGATGAATAAAATCTTTAAAAAAAAAAAAAAGAAAATCATTTGCTATTTGGATAGCTGTGCTCCCTAGAAGGTGTGGACAAGCACATTTTCCTAAATAGAGTTCTTAAAATAAGTTACTTATGAATGCTTATAAATGGAACGCGTTGTGACAATCTTTTATAATTTAGAAAGCACTTTCGTGATTTTAAATCTCACTTACCTTGACTTTTACTTTATGCAGGCAGATTCCTTTAATAGTTTAATAATCAAATTTGAAGTTAAATATTGTTATCTATGGAAAGGAATCATTTCTATTCAGATTCCTTTTTTTTTTTTTAATATTTTATTTATTTATTTGACAGACAGAGATTACAAGTAGACAGAGAGGCAGACAGAGAGAGAGAGGGAGGGGGAAGCAGGCTCTCCGCTGAGCAGAGAGCCCGATGCAGGGCTTGATCCCAGAACGCTGAGATCATGACCTGAGCTGAAGGCAGAGGCTTTAACCCACTGAGCCACCCAGGCGCCCCTCAGATTCCTTTTTTAAATCAAGCCTACACTTCCAATCATTCAAGGTTCATAAGTCCTATACTTTTTGCACTGAAAAAATATATAAACATAGTGTAAGGGCCTCTTTAGCCAGAGGGATTCCATCTTGGGTTAAACAGTGATTTTGTTGTTTATGCAGTAAAACTTAAACTGACCCTGCTCCCCCTCAGGAACTTACTTAAAAGCAAGTCCGGGAAACCAGTCCCAGGTAACAAAGCCCAAATACAAGGGTGGGTCAGGCCAGGTGGAGGTGTCCAATCAGTGGGGGCGCATATTGTCTCCCTAGCTACCAAGGAGTGTGGGTCCCGCCTTTTGGGCGCCAGTTCGGACCAAGGTGCTAGGCTAGTTCAAATATCTACTAGGGTAAATTGTAATTTAATTGGCCACCCGTGTTCGACCTAGAATGACTGTGCAGCTTTCTCTGTGTGTTACAATTTCATTGGTCACCTGTGCGTGGCCAGGCCCAACCACATGGCCTTTGCACTTAAAAGCTAGTCTGTAGGGCAGAGAGGGGTCACGCTCTCTGTAAGAGGTGTGGCCCCCGCCGGTAGGCTTGATTCTCCATGCTTCGCGTGAAATAAAGCTTTGCTTGACCTTCGCTTTGTATCAGTCTTGCTCCTTTAATCACAGACCCATTATTGGGGGACCTTTCAATAGTTGATAACAATTAATTGTTTTTTAATTTCCACAGTCTTTAAATTCATTTAGCTTCCACTTTCCAAAAATCATTAGTTTTTTTAAAAAGGCATTATAGCTCTCAATCTTTAAAAAAAAAAAAAAAAAACTCTTAATTCATTTACACAGCAGCCATTTGCAGGCAATAACTTTCTCATCTCTCAGTAGGACACCCTCCCCTTTCCTCTGTCCTTCCACTCACAGAGCTGACTGTACTTGGGCACTTTAGACTTCAGACATGGTTTTTGAAATATCTTTTGCAATTCTGGAAATAACTCTAAAGATTCAAGGAGAAAAAACATACCCCTGAGGCAAAGATATTAACTCACAACATTTTGCACAAGGCAAGTATTGAAGGCCATATATAGGAACAGGTTTGCTTCTTCGTGTTGTTTTAATCTTTTATCCAGTGCAAAAACAAACTTTTTTCCTCCTGAGGTTGTCATTTCTGTCAGGACTGGAAAGATTTCATTAATCTGAAGGCAGCCAAAGTGCCAAGAAACACAGGACTGGAGGTGGAAGGGGGTACCACGCGTCTCCTTTCTGACTGGCTGCCTTTGCAATTATTTTTCTGGGAACAACCTGAAATACTGACCCTCAGAGTAGCTGCCTCCCTCCTCCTCACTGCCTGCCACCCACTGTAATGGCCAGACTCTCAGCTCAGCTCGATTCCACTGTGCTCTTCTTGCAAACTGCTTCTGGTGAAGGCACAGATGAATATTAAACGAGGGGAAGTCACCTGGTTTGACTCCCAGTACCTGGACAGCTGACACTCGGCCATCTACCTTACTTTTCTTAAACTTGGCAAAGATGCCTGAGTATCTGTCAGTCACCAGCCCCTGGACGGCAGCCAGATGGTCCGCTCCACCTGGCAGAGTGGAGGAGCTGGAGACAGGTAGTAGAAGCAAAGGCAAGAAATCAGCAAGTTCTGAGGACTTGTTGGAGCCTGTGCACAGCCACTGGGATCTGTACTTGCTATAAGCCACATAAATATATCGGGATACATTAAAACTCTGACACCCCACTGCCACTCCGAGAAAACTTTGAGAAAATTTCGTCTCTCTTTAACTTAGAAAATGTGCTTATTTATCTTACATGTTGAGAGCCAGGCACTGTGCCAGGAGCAGAGAAGAATCACTCAGTTCCACTTTGGAGGAGCACCTAAACTAATGTCATCAGCCTCCAGAGAGAGGAAGAGATGCTCCTGGAAGGAAGGAGCCAGGCAGCTGAGGAGACTCGGCTGGGGAAGGGGGAGGAGAAGGGGTTCCAGGGAGAGGAAGCTGATGGGGACGGGCCATACCTGGAGAAGAGTGTAGGACCGTGACCCACTGGCCAAACAGCAAGCAGTTCAAGATGGCTGGAGGATGGGGACAGAGAAGGAGGAAGGTGGCGAGACACTGGAAAGAGAGCCAGACCTCGCAGGTCACCCCTTGGTTTTTTTCTGATGGGAACAGAACCATGGAAAAGTTGGTTTGATTGAGGAAAACATAGACAAGAGCAATAGATGGAAAGTCAAAGTCAACGAACACCTTTCTTGGTTGGCTATGGGCAGAAAGCTGTAGGGATGGGTCCAGGAGGCCTCCCAGGATACCAAGGTGAGGCTACTCATCCACAGATAAGGGACCCTGGAGAAAGAGAGCAGTCATGGGTGAGGAGGAGGAGTGCAGATGGTACATGGTGGGTGTACATGACTGCGGGACATCGGAGTGGAGATGTGAGTGGCCAGACAGCCTGCAGGGCAGCAAACCAGAGAAGACGGGTTGGGGACCATTGGTCTTTGGGTAATATGGGAAGGCAGGTGATGACCCAGTGGAGAACATATGATGAGGAGAGGAAAGGTAAGAAGATGGGACT